TGTGTGTGTGTGTGTGTGTGTGTGTGTGTGTGTGTGTGTGTACATATATATATATATTTAAGCACATTCTCTGCACAACATCCTGCAAACGGCTCTTGCAACCGACTTTAATTCATTCATTCATGTTTGAAATAATATTTATTTTTAACGAATTGTGCGTCGTTGTGATGCGAATCGGAATTTTTTTTTTTTTCTCAATTCCGTCATCGCCATTTTTAGCTCTCGCGGAATAATATCGCATTCGATGCGCGATAAAAGCAACGGTATAATATACATTTGACCTACCTGGAGAGATCGCGGACCGAAATGGCAGTCGCGGTCTCTCCTTTATTCCACTTACTCGCTCGCGTCGAGGTGTCGCACATCCTCCGACTCGTTTTATTTTTTTTTTTTTTTTTTTTTTTCCCCACTCCTTTGCGGGATTGTGCGTGCTATCGGCGTGCTCCCCTCTCATCTCTCGGGTAAAGGATAAGATTCCCCGGTAGGATCAGATGATGCGCGCGGCATAAAAAAAAAAAAAACAGATCGCAACGCGATCCGACGATATTTTTCTACGCCGCATCCTGTTTTCGAGATGTTCCATCTCGTTTTCGTTTTGCCGCGCGCGCATGTACGATATTATATATATACAATATAGTCGCTGTTATTGAGTTATATACGCGCATCGGTTTTTGTTCCACTATCTTGATACACTTAGACGACTTAGTACTGTCGCTGAGCTGAAATTAGCGAAATTCATGTTCTCACACCGTGGAATTATTTTACCCGGTAATAAAACTCGGCTGTATGTATTATCAGCAGGTTTCCAACCGTAATCCCGTTCCTCCCGTTTTTTTTTTTTTTTTTTTTCATCCTCGTGCACATGTAAATAAGAAAGCTCCGGTTGGAAAACCCTAATGTTCTCGGCAGTTTCGTCGGAGCGTTCATCAACCTCCCTAGTTGGCGTTCTCGCGCGCGGCCTCCTGCAGGTTGACCTACAATGCGGCTGACCGGCCATTGCGCTAGACACAGAACTAAAAAAGCAGCAGCGAGAAGGAGTGTCGCGTTGTGTGCGTCATCGTCGGTCGGCATCGTGCAACACGCTGCGAAGTTACGAGCTAGAAAGAACAGAGACGGTGATTGTCAATGACGCGTTTGTCAATGCGCAAAATTTATTTTCGAAACATACATCATTCCCCGAAGAGAAGGAGGTTTCATTCCGAAACAACGTTTCTGCGCGGAATTCGAGATTCTCCGCTGAGAATCAGCTTTCAAAATTTCATGAAAATGATACGACGACGACGTTCTCTATTTCGCCGTACGTTTTTTTTTATTCGCTCACAAATTTTGTATGCATGTGCATAACGAGTTCTATAGCTTCACAATGAGCGACCATGAGCGACGACGCCGCTCACTGACTGAGCACTGAACTGGAGTACCGTATATAATTCACGCTCCGCCGTTTGTATGTACAATAGTGCATACAAAAAATGCGACGTGTTTCGCGGACGCCATTGAAGCGTTAGAATATCTCAAATAGACAGTCGCGCTTCTTTATATTGTAAAGTGAGTGGTCGAACTATCTAGTCTCGCTATCTGACTACTAATCACCACTTAACGACGACCGTCGCTATTTCTTCTTCTTTTTTGCGAGTCTAATTATTTACATTGAGAAAGACCTAAAGGTCGAAAGCTTTGTACTGTACAGTTTATCGCAATAAACTAAATTTTTGAACACACACATTGACATCCGTGTCTGCTCCGTACAGCCATACATTTATTGTAAAGGTCAAATCTGATTGCACAGATAGTTGGCCCCTATTATTCCGAGCAACTTTTGTCTGAACCATTTTTCCAGAGCATGCACAAAAATCGAGATATATGGCTGTTGAGATTAAAAAGGTCCACCGTGTATATATCTGTCTTAATAAGAATTTCTGGAGCTGATTATTTCAAACTTCATTAAATATTAACAATTAAAATCTTATTGAAGCTCGTAAAGTTACTAAACTAAGAAATATATTACGGTCATCCGAGCCGATCGCAGGATGTTGTGCGGAAAACTGCGTATATATTATATATATATATATATACAGGGTGTCCCAGAATTGCCGTACAATCTCTCGTAGGCAGATAGAAGGAATAAAACTGAGTCGAAAAGTCCTGAACCATTTTTTTTCTATTATTTATAATAAAGGAGTAAGTATTGAGTAAATCAGGTTAATCAGCGCAGACCTTTAGCCAGGCACACGTCAGTGAGCGCTCATACACACCAGGCGCGCGGCTCACTAACGTGCGCCTGGCTAAAGGTCTGCGCTGATTAACCTGATTTACTCAATAATTACTCTTTTATTATAAATAATAGAAAAAAATGGTTCAGGACTTTTCGACTCAATTTTACTTCTTCTACCTGCCTACGAGAGATTGTACGGCAATTCTGGGACACCCTGTATATATATATATATACGCAGTTTTCCGCACAACATCCTGCGATCGGCTCGGATGACCGTAATATATTTCTTAGTTCATTAAATATCAATAATAATAATAAATAGAGATATAATAAATAGAGAATAGAATATAATAAATAGAGAGAGTAACGAAACACGGAATAATAAACGAAACAACTCTTGTCTACTTGCGAGAGGTTCTCTCAGAGGCATTTCACAGATATTCGCCCGTTTGGTCGAGAAATCCCGTGACTCCGTTTCTCGTGATTCCGTTACTCGAGATATACGAAAATTATACGGATTCTCGAATTAGATAAAGAAACTATACGCATTATTAGGTTTTTTCGAAGATATTTTCTCAATTTTGTTCGACGTGACGAATTTTTTTGACGCAAAGCGTAAGTCGTAGTTAATAGAACTCGATAATTTGTTTTTTGTTTTCTGTTTTCGAAGGCCGAGCGAGACAAGTTGGAGGAGGCTCGAAGAAATCTGGAGATACGCCTGGAGAGTTGCGAGACGGAACTACGCGGCAAGGAGGACGAGCTCTTCCTGCAGTTGGAGAGAAGTCTACGACTGGAAGAGGAGATCGAACGAGCAAAAATCGAGAGGGACAGCTACATGGAGGCGCGAGATCGGTTGGAACAGCAACGGGAATCGGCGTTTAGACGTTTGCAGATGCAGCTCGAGCAGAACGAGATCACGAGGCAGAATCTCGAGAGAGCGCGACAAGATGTGATCCGACAGGCCACGGTTATTCGCGCCGAAAGAGACACGTTGGAGAGAGAGGTAACAGCGAATAGTATTCTGAATTTTATTCGTCTCTTTTTTCGATCCGCTTATTGATTCGTTCCGTCGTTCGTTTTTTTTTTTTTTGCAGAACGAGATGCTGCGACAAAGACTGAGAATGGAACAGGACGAGCTACGCGGCGAACGGCGTCGTCGAGAAGAAGGCGTCGCTGCGCTAACGAGGGAAACGATCGCGCTCAAGCACGCGACGCGACATTTGAGCGCCGCGACGTTTCACGCGACTTCCTGTCGGAATCGTCGTCGATGCTCCATCTGCATGTACGCCAGACGCACTCTGGCTGGCGTCGACAGCTATCACGACAAGTATGTGATGAATAAACTATAAAAAAAGAAATTCTCTCATTCCGAGAAGAGAGAATTGCGCAAAAATTTTTTTTTATTACAATTCACGCGCGTAAATTTTTTTTTAAATATTCTAAGACTAAAACTTTGAACCGACAAAACGAATATTATTTTAGGAACTTTGTTGATTGCAGTGGAAATCTTCTGCAGTGCCTTCAAGCACCTTTACAGGATATTCGCGGTTGGTTGCGACCCAACAGCGCGACGTCATCATCCGCCAATTCGTCGCGAGTACCGCGACTCGATTCGTCCATAGCCGATCGCGAGATTTGCTACATCGACGACTCCAGTGTTGACAGCAGCAGCAACGGAAGTACCAACAGTCGCAGTTGCAGCAGCAGCACAAGCAGCAGCAACAGTGGTTACGACGACGAAGCATATCCGAGCACTCCGATAGCTGAGCCTTCTCTTTCCTCGGCCACATCAAGTGTTCCACATACAAATAGAGCTTTTTCTTCGGATTCAGGGTTTGTTTTTTTATTTGAAGAAAAAAACATTGCTAGAATAATAGCATAGTCTTGTTCGAAAATATCGAATGCGCTCATTTGTTTTTTTTTGTTTTTTTTTTTCTATCATTATTTATAGGTTTTCTTCCGAGATAGGGGATCGTAGATCGCGATGTTTCGACAACAGCAGCGGTAAGAGCAGAAACATGAGCGAATCGTTGGACGGCAACGAGGACGATCAGGGTGCGTCCGGAAGAGACGGGCTCACTCGCTCAAGATGGACTTCCTCTTTCCGCAGACTGCTCGGACGAAAGTCCAAGAGCAAGCTCGATCGGTTTTCGGGAACGGGCAAGACTGACGAACCGCGTTGAAATTAATTTTTACCAAATTTATATAGAACTTCGTCGTAGATATCATCTCTTCCCGTCCTCTCTTCTTTTTCATAGCGAGTTTCACGCGCGAGAACGAATTACATAGATCTTACTTATTTCGAAAGCGAACAATCGCTTACCGATGAAATTTATTTGAGTTTTTCTAGAGTTCGGAGAAGATATTAAAAAAAAAAAAAAAAAAAAACTGCCGAGATTCGCGTATTAACTCTTTCGAAAATTAAAAAGAGACACGAATTTAAGGATTTTGGAATTTTGGAATATCTGGGACATTGGGGATCACAACTGACGTAATGCAAAGAAGCAATAATTCCACCAGGAATCACAAGTTTATTTTTTCCAAGACGTTTCCAAGAGGTTTCTTTGATGCAGATTTATTTATATATAATAATAATATTATATATTAATAATAGTAATGCAAGAGGAAGTAAAAAAATTTACTACCAGAAATCACAAGTTTATTTTTTTCAAGACGTTTCCAAGAGGTTTCTTTAATGCAGATTATTTATATATAATAATAATATTATATATTAATAATAGTTACGTAATATAACTATTATTATATTACAAATAAACTGTTATTAATATAATATATCAATAATAAACTATTGTTGATATAATACTATGTTAATAATAGCTTATTATATTAATAATAGTTTATTGTTAATATGATACTATATTAAAAGTTTAATATATTTTAACTTAACTTAATTTGAGACTGCATTGAGAAAACCGCGATTTTAATCACAAAACATTGCAAATGATGAACCGTGATGAGAATCTCTTGAAAAAAAATAAAAAGGGAAACAATGTCTGAGAATTTATTCTCTTCTTTTCTCGCGATGCATTTAATAATCTTTGTAGTAAAAGTGTCGTTTCCCAGAATCCAGAATTCACAAATCTCAAGAGTCCGAAACCTCAAGAACTCCTCTATTATATAGGAATTGAAATTTTTAGCGAGTTAGAAAGGATTACAATATTATATACATGAATAGAATAATATATAGTAATTATTGATCGATCGAAAGAGTTTTAATTTATAGATATTTATTAGCAAATTGTATAGATATGGGTTTTAAAGGTAAATGCGATTTTTACGAGAAAAATTCGATTCAGATATGTATTATAACGATTAAGGAAAAGAATGTTATTGTTTGCATTCCAAGGATTTTTGCAATTTGTATATTGTTACAGTTTGTTGTTATTCACGGCGACTGTTATTATACTTGCCAAAGAGAGAGAATATTCCTATCGAATTTTATTGCGAGATCGGCATCAAGTGTATGGCGTTTAAGAAATTTTAAATTTGTGACAATTTTTTTTGTCTCTTACCGTTTGTCAACGTTTGTTTCATAGTTTACGAGTTTATGATTGCGGTTTTTTTTTTAAGTGTACGTATAGTAAAAAAAAAAGTGAAGCACGGTGAAAAAATCGGACCAAATTACAAAGATGGCGCAATCCTGTTATAATGATGTTGGAAAATGTAGGAAATTTCAATTATATATTGTGGATATGCAAATACAATCACGAATAAACTGTGTCCATCGCGTTCTTTGATATTTTCCGAATCTTTCTCTCCTTCCTGTTAAAAATTTTACAATTGTCAGTATCACATTTTTATTATTTTATCAAATAATCTTGATAATTTTAAAATTAACAAGAACAAAACGTGATTAATCAATGTTTTCGAGCAATTCGCGGAAATGTATTTTTATATTTAAAAATATAAAAACAAGAAACTGAGTGAATGAACAATGAGTTATTATTATTCGTTATTATCTCTTATGTATGTGCGGTTTAATTATTTCCAAGTTTAAGACTTAATCAATAGAGCTTTATCTCGTCGGTTTGATAATAAAATAAGCAGTAATCGTTATCTTATCACAATACCGTGTAATACCGTGTGCTCACAATCTCTAATTGTAAAAGTGCTCACAGATAAATAATTTCTCATCTTTACTTGTGTTTCTTGTATTTTTTTTTGAGAAAAGTTGCAATTCAAAACCACTCGATATGATCTATTATGTTATTTTTCACGTACTACTTTCAAGAGATTAAACAAAAAAAGATGAAAAAGCAAACATTCTGTACGAGTATTATGTTCGGACAATCCGCGATATTTTTTTTTTTTCTGACAATTAAAACCGAGATTCATCTCAGGCTCTGTGAAGTCTTTAACTAATAAGAATGATAAGTCGTTGAGAGCCGTTCGCTGGATGTTATGCGGAAAATATGTCTATATATATATATGTGCGTGTGTACACATATATATAATCGAATTCACGTTTTTCACGTGAGTTTTTTGAATTGTAATTACAATTCTAATAATCATATAGGATGCTCAACTTGCATCTCGTATATGAAGAACCCCGCGAATATCTCCCCTTATTATTAATTAATTTATTAATTAATAAATTAATTTAAAATATTGCGAAAAAAAATTTTTTTTTTCAATTGTAAGAGAGGCAAATACGAGCAATATTCTTAGTATTATATGAGCTTCTTTATTCTGAAATGTGTGCGTCAGACATTTCGATCTCTTTTTTTTTTTTACATCTTCTTCAGTGAGGTCTGTGCAAAGTGAGAGATCGAAACGTCTGACGCACACATTTTAGAAAAAAAAATCTACACACTAAAGAAATTTATACACTAAGGACTCGTATTTGTGCCTCTCTTACAATTGAATTTTCAACAAGTACCATTCGATATTCTCTTTTTTTTTCACATCATATTTTTCATCAAAAAAGAAGAATTAATTTGTTTTCTCGTAAAAAATACGTCAGTCAAAAAAATACTCTGTATTTCATAACATCGTTACTACACACTTTATTTATTCACATGACATATGTTTCTTCTTGAGCTGTCTCGTTATCGATTGTGATTTTCGACGAACACAGTGCCGGCATCCGCGGTTCGATTCCGCCGACTCAACCGATTTGTCCACGAACACGCTCTCCCCGCCAATGCGCCACTTCCGCTATCGAGAAATCGATTGTGCATATAACCGGCAAGGCTCGTGAAGTCGTGAGTCGTGAGTCGGAATTCGCTTTCGCGCTAGTTCAATTTTGGCGCTGCGCCACGAGACACATCCACGTTTTCCTTCTTTTCTCTCTCTCGAGCGCAACAGGTACGTGTCATTATCACAAGTGGAAAAGAAATTTCTATCTCAAAGTAAAAGATATATCGTAAGCTGGAAGAAATTTTTGATTTTCTATTACCAAAAAGAATTAACGCGAGAAGATAATTCGTTAAATAATTTATCAAGCAAAAAATTATTAGTTAAAATTAATCCGTCTTTATATTTTCAATATATAACAATATCTATATAACGTGCACTTTTCTTTTTATTACATATTTATCTCTACTCGAAGTATTATCTTTCAAAATTTATCAACGACATTGATATTTTTTTCCTGGGATATTCATTTAATCAAGCCACCAAATCAACAAGTCCGACAATAGGCTCACGATACAACAGTTTTTTAAATCTAATCTGTTTTTTTTTTTTTTTTTTTAACGTAATAATTTATAACTGGTTATATATGTGATTTTTGAAAATATATATTGGATGCAAATATGTTGCAATGGAAATATTCTGCGAAAAAACACATGCGAAAGAAAACATGTTTTCACAAAACAACTGTCATCAATTATCTGTCGTATTGTTGCAAATGACACTGAGTCACTGATTTGAGTTAGCGTTGAATGTGTCTCCGGTGCTTTATCATTTTCTCAACACAGTCTCTTCTAGCCTAACTACAACCGTTTCATTTATTTTTCGCGCATTGTTAAAACTCAAGTTTTTTTAATATCTAAGAAAAGAATAATATAAAAAAAAGAAAGAAGAAAATTATTATAAATACAATAATGTTAAAGTTAAAGATGAGTTTGGATCGCCTCTATTGATTCGTTTGTTTAACAATAACGTCACAAAAAGATGGATCTGTTAGCAAAGTGTTATCAATTATCTCGATTGGAACGTGGGTAGCACACCGTTTACCGAAGGTGAGGCGCGCGAGCGTTCGTATCATTCGATCGATTAATACGATCACCCAAGGAAAGCGAATTGCTCTTTCGTTGAAAAAAAAAAAAAAAAACCAAATAAATTTTAAAATCCGCGTTATGGGAATAATCATTTAATTGTTTCGTCCGTGGTCGAAATGTCTTTGTTTTGAACGAAATATACGTATTAAGATATACAAGACGCTCGTTGTATAAACAATAATAAGAAAGACCAATATTGAGCCAAAAACATATGGATATATTCGGATAAAAGTGGTTACATGCGCGCGGAAATGTTACAATTGCGAAACTTTTTGAGCACTCTGTATATGCAAACATATATGTACGTTGCGCACGTGCGTTTAAATTTATCAGAACGTAATATATCTGTTGCTCGTGCAAGAATAACTTGTTTTAACGAGCAAGAAACGGTTTTGAAACGAAGAGGTTTATTTTTTTAACCTCTTTCCAGATTTCAATGCAAAACAAAATTATATGCGTTTTTACATTAACTTTCAAATGACTCACAAATTTTTGAAAACCGAATCAATATTTATCAATTATTTTTCTCACTTTCGGTGATTCGAGATAAAGCATGACGCAATCGAAGACCGTTATCGGCACGGTAAGAGCTGCACATTGAATTTTATATGTGACACAAAATGAGTCACATATTTAACGTATTTATGCGTATACACGCGTATGCGTGGGATCGAGTTTCTCGCAAAAACGTTTCCTTTTGATCAAGAGAATACAATGAGCGCGTTGTCCATGATATCTTAACGATTTTTAAACGAGCTTGCGTGCAGATTTCCTGTCGCACACAATTGTAAATTTTGTATTAAAATTGCAGATTCGTTAAACAAAATCAAAGAAAATTAAAAACATTTTTTTCTTTTCGTCGCAATACGCGGAATTTATATGCAAAAAATTTTAACTTTTAATTTTCTACCCAAACGTAAAGAGTTTGGCTTTTAAGGTCGCGGTTAATTATCTTAGATTATAACTTAATTGGACCGATTGTTATTTTATCAAACAAATCGTACTAATGTTTAGCTAAACTGACCATCACGGTTAACACTTTGATCAATCAGCTCGATTGTAAACGACGAGACGGAGAAAAAAAAAAGTATATAAAGAGAGTTATCAAGAAAGATTACAATATAAAATTCTTGTGAATTTTGATAAAAAGCTGATTCTGATTCAGATGTGCAATACGTTACGTAAACATGACGTGTGAGTGTAAATGCACCTACAATCAAGTACATCAAGTATCCCACACAGACATCCATTAGATATCTATTAAATGTTGCATGGAGCTGTCGATGTCTAATAGACGTCTAATGGAGTTTTTGTTCTGTGTGAGTATTCGCGTATATATATACAGGGTGTCCCAGAATTGCCGTACAATCTCTCGTAGGCAGGTAGAAGGAGTCGAAAAGTCCTGAATCATTTTTTTCTATTATTTATAATAAAGGAGTAATTATTGAGTAAATCAGGCCAATCAGCGCAGACCTTTAGCCAGGCGCACGTCAGTGAGCCGCGGGCCTGGTGTGTGTGAGCGTCTGATTGGCCTGATTTACTCAATAATTACTTTTTTATTATAAATAATAGAAAAAAAATGGATCAGGACTTTTCGACTCAGTTTTACTCCTTCTACCTGCCTACGAGAGATTGTACGGCAATTCTGGGACACCCTGTATATATATAATGAACAGAGAATAAATATTAATGTTGACGTCAACAAACAAGAATTCAAAAGAAGCGCAAAAACATGACAAACGTGCGATTAAACTATAAAATAGAAAAAAAAATATATAAAGATTGTTATTAATCTTGTCGTCATCTCTTTGCCAACATAGCGGTACACATCTCGAAACTAAATTCTCAACTACCATCTTGTACTCATCTTCTGATCGTCATTGTTATTGTGATTATTACAAGTCGTCGAGATACACACACACACACACGTCATCGTTCGTGTGAAGAATTATCAATCAAGTATCACGGGGAAAAAAAACACAATAAATAACTTCCGTACTCTTTGATATCGCGCAACTTTACACGTGTTTTTTGAGCAGCGGAAAAATCAACAGACCAACTGAGTCATTTGATTTGTTTTAAGTGCTCTATTATTGTTTCATATGATCGACGATCTCTATTATCTGTGTACGTTGCGGGAACGCGCGAACGTCCAATCCGACAACAAGAACATATATCATCAAAAATTTTATATTCACCGCGTAAAAAATTAAAAAATATATTTTCTATTTGTTTACAGATAGTAATACTATACAAATATGGAGAAAAATAGTTCCGCACCGCCACCCGGCTTCAACCCCGGCTTGCCACCGTATCCTTACCCGCAACCGCCACCATCAATGCCACCGCCGTCGATGCCGCCGCAAAGTAAAAATTTTATAAATTATTAGAAAAAATAAAATAAAAAAAAAAAAAAGAGCAAAACACAAATCTAAATTGTATGTTTAATAATCGAGCACTGATAACCTTAGAATTAATACGTTTTTTACAGGTGTGACCATTATATCGGGCATGGCCTTTGGTAAAGAAACGCAAAACATGACTTGTCCACATTGCCAAGCTAACATAACCACGCGTGTAGAATCAGAATCAAATATGAAAACGCACTTGATCGCGCTGCTGCTTTGTGCGCTTGGGTAAGATTTTCAATCCGCGTGAATGCGGATAGAAAAATTTTAGTAAAAAAAAAAAATCAACGTAAAAAATTGTTTGATTTCATTTTTTTTTAGATGTTGGTGTTGCGTGCCATGTCCATACTGTATGGACTCTTGCTTGATGCACAAACATTACTGCCCAGCATGTGGTACTTATCTCGGAATGTCTGACAATTAATCTTAGCTGTAATATAAATATTGCAACATTATCGTTCAGTAGTGCACATGTATTCCCGGGAAAAAATGGATTAGATCTAACTTAAATTTAACAAGATAAAAAAAAAAAATGGAAAAATAGATCTAATTTAGATCCAAATTAAATCTAAATAGATATGGAGTAGATCTAAATCAATATAAAGTAGATCTAAATAAATATAAGCAGAGATCTGTTAAATTTACACCTTTATATATTATTAAATCTACTTTAGATCTATTCAGATCTACTATAATTAAAACTACTCAGATTTAGTTAGATTTGAGTAGGTCTGAACAGATCTTGAGTAGATCAAGAGTAGATCTAATAACAAATAAAAGTGTAAATTTCCATAGATCTGCTTATATTTATTTAGATTTACTTTATATTTATTTAGATCTACTTTATATCTATTTAGATTTAATTTGGATCTAAATTAGATCTATTTTTCTATTTTTTTATCTCGTTAAATTTAAGTTAGATCTAATTCATTTTTTCTCGGGTTGTAAGTTTTTTTTTTTATTATATGTAATATTTTAAACACAACTTTTTTTTTATTATATGTAATATTTTAAACACAATTCACATCAAGACGAATCTATAAGCTTATAAGACAGGTTTGTTTTTACGTGTATTAGTTTTTATGTGAATTTTTGCGAAATATGCGACGTAATTTAAAATAAGTTTCTAAAAACCATTTTTAAAACTTCTTATGACATACAAAATATTTTTGTAAAAATATCAAATATCAAATTAAAGAAAGTTCTTATTTTCTAATTTGAAAAGCACTGTTCAGCAACGTTTAAAAATTAACAAGAGAAATGTATACGTGAGATATATATACATACATACATATATATATCAGATTTTTATGTAATGTAATTGTGCATTTTAATATGTTACTTATAAGTATAATATTGAACTAAATTGGCTTTTATTATTCTAATTATTTTGCAGTGTTATATATATTAATGTTTATATAAAATTATACGAGTATTGCTTTATATCAGGACTTGCTGTAATAAAAATAGTGTTTGTACAAGTACGTATTTATTATGCGATTTTTGATACAAAATGCTTCTCTTTTACATCTGTATATATTCTGTAACTTCCATTAAGTCGCAATTATTTAGTTCTATATTTGTCAAAAGTATTTTTGAAATGCGTCTTTTTTTTTTTATTTCTTAGTAAGAGAAAAAAGAGATTATTATATAAGCAAGAAGAGGTTATTATATATATATACAAATTTGTTAATAAAAAATTTAAAATAAAACATTTAAAATATATATATATATATTTTGCAATAGCTGTCATTATAGATATTAACACTGTAGGGTAATCGGTCGTCGGCGGCGTCACATACCGGGTGACCGCGATCGACGTGCGACTTGCGCTAATGTCGCTGCGCAAACATGTGATTGCCGGAAACACGTGAAAGGAAGAAATTCGAGAGTTCTCTAGAATTGTCGAACGAGAGAGGCATGATCCGGCGAAAATCGGAGCGGTCGGGAATTCTTGTCGTGTCCGGCGAACCGAACGGTCGTAAATAAGTCGCTGTGTCGGAGTCAAAATTGTCGAGCCGCGAGGACAGTTGCCCTTGGTTCGAATCGTGAAAAGAAAGATAACATTGTTGTGTGAATTTGTCGGTCGTATCGTGTTGACGATTTTCTCGTGTCGGATATATTTGAAATAATAAGACAAGGTGACTGTTGGTGTCGAGTTTATTGTGTTGAACTTAAATATTAACTGTCGTAACAACGACCCTGTCGAGATCCGAGAATCGAGAGTCCGGTGAAGTTCAGAACGAATCTTTCAACTTCAGAAGAAGGGACAAACTCTTTGTCGTTTCGGTGTCCGTCGGTGGTCACGTGAAGATCAGAAGATCGAGTGGTGGTTGAGTGCTCGCCCTGAAAATAGAAAAAAAAATTAGTGATTGTTTCTGCCGCTTGTTGGAAATAGTAAAGTGAGTTACGCCGCGAGAACATGCCGGGGACGCATTCCGTCATCGACCGTGACGCCCTAGAGGTGGCGATATTGGAACAATTAAGAAAGGAAGCAAAGAAGCTCCACTTCCCGACCACTGGAGATAGGACGGCCATTATTGACGTGAATTTGAACCATGTGGTGCAGCTCGGTTCGGCAGCGGACTCGCCGGAAGCCGGGGCTCCGGCGGCGGAGGAGCCGTTGACGGCGAGCTCTCTCAGGGAAGTCCTGACGCAGATGCAGAGCGTCATCCGCGAGCAGCGTGAGCTGCAAGAAAGTTTTTTGCGGCAGCAGATGGAGATGCAACTACAGCAGCAACAATTTATGCTGCAATTGGTGCAACAATTGACCGAACGAGGTTGGGCAAAGCCGTCGGGCACGGAACCCGAGGTTGCTCCGAGGACGGGACGCAGTAGCGATGAAGCGCCGGGTAGAGAGGGACAGGCGGGGTCGCCTTCGAGTGCGGTCCTGGCCAACGGAAATTCGATTGAGTCGACGAACGGCCACAGCTATGGCGATATAACCGTTGAGTTGTTGGCCACACAGATTCCGGAATTCGGTGGAGGCGAGGACGAAAACGTGAATGTGTGGGTGAAACGCGTGGACATAGTTTCTGTGATCCACCGCGCAACGGATGGCGTGGTTCTTTTGGCAGCGTCGAGCAAGCTGGTCAAGCTCGCTAAACAGTGGTATGAACTGAAGCAAGATGGGATAGAATCTTGGGATGATTTGAAGCGAGAGTTAATGAAAATGTTTAAACGAGGAATTTATTGGTTTTATAAGACCATGCAGAAAGTAGAAGCGAGAAAATGGAATCCTGGGAAAGAATCGTTCGATCAGTATGTGTTTGCAAAGGAGTCGTTAATACATCCGTTGGACTTACCAGTAAAGGACGCGATACACTTAATAATCGGTGGCATAAAATCCGGTACATTGAGAGCTGCAGCTCTTTCAATAGCAAGCGACTCACTAGGAGATTTCTTAGGGAAAATGCGCATTATTGCAGAGGGATTCGTCGAACCTGAGAAAAAAGTGTAAAGACTCAATGGTAAAGACTAATAGCACGACGACTGACATCTGTCGTAATTGCGGGAAATCGGGGCACGGTCATCAGAATTGTCCCAATAATCTCACTTGCTTCTATTGCAGACAGAAGGGACACCGCCAGTACGATTGCCCGGTCCTGCGTGACTGAGGCAGGAGACCGGGTGCAACGCGGCAGCAGCCGACCCTGGCGGCGAAGTGGGCCCTGACGACTAGGCGGTGGGTTTTGTTTCGGAGGTTTCACACGGGCTGGAGCTCGGCGGATCCATTGTCCAGGTGGACAGCGTGATGGGGATCGACAGGCGTGATGTGACGGCGATCGTGGGCACCGGGAGTCCTGTTTCCTTCGTGAAGTACAGCGTTTACTGTAAAATGATAAAACCATAAACGAAAGGATTTGTATATATTACATGTTTACCGCTGGATGTTATTGGAATGATAACGGTCGATCTGACCTTGCGTCTCTTGAAAAAACAAACGGATGGCAGTAAATTTGTATATTATGATTCGGGATCAGGCATTTGCCAGCAATTTTGCATCAGGACTTTCTTTTAAAATTTATAATAAAAATTATAATAAAAAATTTATAATAAAATTTATTAAATTTATTTTAAAAGAAAGACTTTTACGGTAGTTCATAAATTTCACGATGCGCAGTCCGACGATCGTATAGACTCAGTTAAATTGTACGAATAGGTGCCATTAAACGTCGAGGGTTGCGCTCCGTCAGATCAGAAACATTAAATTTGGAGACCATGGAAGAAAAACAAAAAAATTCTTGTTTTGTCGAAAATATGGTTCTTTCAACTGAATTATGGCAAGCGCTTGTTACGGTGTAATCAGCTGTCGAATCTCAGAGTTAAAGATATTACTTCTGATATTACTCGTCTACAAAAAGGCCTTCCGAAATATTGTATGAAGACATTGTTCCCCTTCCGTGCGAAAAAAACAAAAAACAAAAAAAAAAAAGAAAAGAAAGAACATATATATACACGGTTGTATCAGAATCTGTTAAATAATCTATGTCTCAATTTCTGACTGCCGACTAAATGAAACGCTGGATTTAATCAGTACGTTGATTGGGGGAAACAATCCTGCTATAAAAAGGGTAGAAAAAATTAGATTAGTTAATTAAGCATTGGTTGTTTGTATTATATAAAACGTTCTAAATATGTTATACTTACCGTTTCGATTGGACAAAGTTGTACTTACCGTTTCGATTGAACAAAGTTGTACTTACCGTTTAAAGAAAAAAAAATAAATAAATAAATAGATAAGAAGAGATTAATTGTAATTTTGTTGCGATCCTTGTTGACGTGTTGTAAAATAATTAAATCGGCGAACTTCGGGACGAAGTTCGATAGTCAGGACGGCCGAGTTGCAAGGTAATCGTCGGCGGTGTCACATACCGGGTGACCGCGATCGACGCGCCGACGTGCGAATTGCGTTAATGTCGCTGCGCAAACGTTATTGCCGGAAACACGTGAAAGGGAGAATTCGAGAGTTCTCTAGAATTGTCGAACGAGAGGTTAGGTTAGGAAGTTAATTCCTATTGTAGTGTCCGACCGAAGGTTCGGTTTTGGTTTCGGTTTCGGCCAGTTTCGGCAAAAAATTGAAGTTTCGTTTTAGTTTCGGTTTTGGCAGCGAACCGGCCAAAACTACTACTAAAACCGAAACTTCTTTCGTGTTCGTGAGTTGTCGACTTGTCGCGCTAAATAATAACCAAAGATTAGATAGAAGTTATTTCGTTTTTTAGATAAAAGAAAAAATTTGTTTTTGTTTTCTTAATCTTAAGTATAAAAGTTTTTTTTTACCTATTTTTTGTTGGCAACTTCATAATTATTATTATGATAATGCGTAATTATATGCCTTTGAATTAATAATAGGTACTTGACATGTTGATATTTTTTGTTACAAACTCAAATTTTAATTTATTTGTATAACTAAAACTTTGACTGTCAAATAGACTGTAATAATACTAATTGTGTGATATTAGTACAGACTTGTGTGTGTGTGTGTGAGATAATAAAAACTGCATTAATCAATGATTTTCTTTCTATGTGAATTACACACCTCACCTCACATACAGAAGACCGTTTGTGGTACTTTTTTTTGTTGATTGTTTAAGAGCAATAAAGTTATTTGTTTATCGAATAAGGGCTTTTTTAAACACATACGCACCTGCAGCTAGCTAAACTTTACAGAAACAGGCTCAAACTAAAAAACTGTAATAAGGAATTACCACAAAAAGAAGTTTCGGTTTTGGTTTCGGTTTCGGCCGAAACTGAGACAGAAACCGAAATTCGGTTTCGGTTGTAAAAACTAGTTTCGGTCGGACACTATCCTATTGCGTAAAATTTAAACAACTATTTTTTGTTTTATTGGTAGGATGTCACGGTATCTTATTTGTACAATACGATACACGAGATAACTGTTATTGCGTAAAAAGTATGGACGTTTTTGATTTCTCTTTATTTTTTTACGACATACAGTATGAAAACTTTTAATATCAATTACTTACAGTCTACTGAAGAACTTAAAAAAAAAAAACATTATGTTGATTCACACATAATAACTCATTTTGCATAAAAATTTGATACCTTGGTTTGGTTTTTTTTGCGATACACAGCACGATAGTTCATTTTTGTAGACATCTCCCATTAAGAAAAAATTCAACTTTTTTTTGTTTTTTTTTTATAAATTTTTTTTCATACGGTATGATCCAGTGGCTTATTTTCGTTACACATGACAACTTTTATTTTGTGTATACGATTCCAATAGCAATTAGATGTAGCTTTTACAATAACTATTTTTTGATAGCAGATTTTATAGTTATGTAATTTTTTCTTTTTTACGTTCGCTTTTATCATAAGTTATTGTTCCAATAAATTTCATACTTTATAAATATGTATCTATTTCAATTGTGTAAAGTTTCTCAAAGACATTGCGATTGTATTTTACAAACGTTGATGTTTTTGAATTTTTTTTTTTAACATTCAACGATTAAAAACTGAATACAAGTTACACAACTTCGTCAATCTGTTATGTAGTACAAACTGTGAAAGATGTTTCTCTTAGAATCTAACATCTGTGTTTTCGATAATTCGAGAGATAATTGCGTACAATTCGACTGGCAGTATAGGCTTGTGGAATATTTTTCTAGGGAAGTATTTCGTAAAATACGTAACATCTGGAAAACTTATCCTCTATCACAGTTACTCATAGATCCATTTTTCAGCTGCATTCGTCCAATCAATAACTTCCTTCTCGCCGAACCATAGATTAATTTCCTTATTGGCTGATTCGACAGAATCAGATCCATGAATGATGTTACGGCCCACTTGTATGCAAAAGTCACCGCGGATTGTACCAGGTGCGGAATCTTTAGGATTTGTTTCACCCAGCATCACACGACCAGTTTTCACGACATTCAAGCCTTCCCAGACCTAAAATATCATAAAAAGAAACACAGATTAATATCAATATTAAAATTTATTGTCACTTATTAGTTATTTCTCTTGAAAAATCGTGTCAGTTTTAGTCATACGAGATACTTGCCATCGGTACAACTGGTCCTGAGCTCATATACTTGACCAAACCTGGAAAGAAGGGTCTTGAGGCCAAATCAGCGTAATGTTTCTTTAAAAGTTCTTCAGTAGGCTGCAAGTAATACATATACAAACCACACAATTAAGAAAAAGAAGTGGTTCTAAAGACAAATTTGGAAGTCCACATTATAATTTTTAACATAATTAGAAATATTCAAATAATTAAAATAACTAATGCTTTTTATACACATATTGTGACCCGTAAACAAGTTGACATAATAGTTTAGTCTGCGATAAATTAATTTTTTTTTAGCTCATGTGTGAGACGATTGTTCAATTGTACTCAGTTTACACGATACGCGATAAGATTTTTTTGTTTTCAAATATGTTACGACTTATATGACGTCATTTCGCTTTCGATTACGTCACTAAGGTCATACCGCTTATCAAATTAGTGAATCGAAGAGAAGCATTACAATCACGTCAGATAATTCAAACATAAATAGGTTTGTTTTTTTTTCCCTGAACTGGTCGCACTAGTTCACAGTCTATCCTTTTCTTTCTAATACGGATAAAAAAAAGACATTCTCGAATATGTACTACAGACAAGTATTGCGAATAAGAGTATTCCATGTGCTTGTAGATGTAAAACACACTTGTCGATAAAAAATAAAAAAATAGGAACGGACAAAATGCTCGCGTAAGATTAGCGTAAGATTTTCGAGTCTTGAATTTTGGAAGAACACAACGGATTTTTTACTCATCGCTCGAGTTGCAACGCAATGCGGTAAAAGTCCACGTAAGCAAACCGGTACTTACCCAGAGCATCTTCATTGCTATCAATTTGAAGCCTTTGTCCTCAAATCGTTGAATAATTTTGCCAACCAGACCCCGTTGTACGCCGTCCGGCTTGACCATTATGAAGGTGCGTTCTTTGTTCTCGGCCATGATTAATTTACAGATTATGTGTAATAAGACTGTCACAGAACACAAGACCATGCGGTACCGACGAGCCGCGAAGGAGTGAGAACCAGAGATGACAAGAAAACCGCGACAAGTTCCTAGATGGAAAAAGGGGGGAGCAATGTGCCTGTCGCAATGTGCCGGTTCGCCGGTTTCGCTTAGCGTGTTAGCGGCATAGAGATATAAGACTACTTAAGGGCGATGTCCCATTGAGCGGAAATCTATAGCGGAACGGAATGTGCGGAACCAGCTCGACCAATCGTAATCAAAGAAAAAGCGAAGGAAAGAAAACGGAATAGCTATGATTGGTCGAGCTGGTTCCGCACATTCCGTTCCGCTATAGATTTCCGCTCAATGGGACGTCGCCCTTAGAGTGCGCGAGCTTATGCATATACAGGGTGTCCCAGAATTGCCGTACAATCTCTCGTAGGTAGGTAGAAAGAATAAAACTGAGTCGAAAAGTCCCGAACCATTTTTTTCAATTATTTATAATAAAAGAGTAATTATTGAGTAAATCAGGCCAATCAGCGCCGATCTTTAACCAGGCGCACGTCAGTGAGCCACGCGCCTGGTGTGTGTGAGCACTCCGCGCAGTTCACTGACGTTTTCATTGTGATCACAATCGATTATTCTTCTGTATTTTGTCTGTGATTAATCAATTTCTTACTATTACGGCCTACAACTCTCCATTGTAGACGGCTCTTTAACTTACACACATATCACTTTAGATGAGACCGGCCCAGTGGTCTCGCGGCCTGAGTGCAGGGGCTGCGAACCCGGAGGTCCCGAGTTCGAATCCGCTCACCACCTAAGGATTTTTTCCGGGCCGGTTCCCTTCAACCGAGGTTTTCGGTTGATCGGCGACCTAAATCGGGTCTCCAAAAATTAATTCGGATGTAATTCCGAATTTATTTCCCTCCCACAAGGCGATCACAAGTCACAACAACTTTGAGCACGAGCCCGACACAGATAGGTACGTCTACTGTGAAAAGACGGCCGTGTATCGCGTGGTAGTAGGAACAAAAAGAACTGCACAAATTGACTTCGAAAAAGAAAAATCTTGATCTTCGACATAAATGTGTCTAATAGCCTAATTAGAGCTACAGGCACGTTAAATACCTAATAAAAAAAAAAAAAAAAAATATCACTTTAGAGATGTATTTCAAGTAATTGCTACATCATAATTATCAGTTATTAAGATTACTGATACTAACAGATTTACAAGTATCTATTAATATTTTTATGTCATTATTACTTAAGAAACTAAATATTTTTTCAATACACTCAAATGGTAGCACAGGAAAGTTACAGAAAAAATAGAAACTTATAGTGCCTTGTTCGAGCAACTCTTTTCTTTCCATACCATTTCTGAACTAATTTTTTATCATGCTAGAGTATATTGGAAATTTTGTTTTATACTCGTCTGATCTTAAAACCTGCACTACATTTTCATTTCTCATATATATTGCTAATGGATTTGTATCTTTTATCAAAATATCATGAAATGATATGTTAGTATTACTAATTTTTTCATTCTTCAAGATTGCTACTTCTTTTTCACATTTATCCTGTAAATCTTTCATTTTGTGATTGCGACTCATTGAGAAGTGTTCCCTTACGTATAAATTTGCAGTTTCCATCTTAACTATATGCTGTTCAAGAATCTCAGCAATTTCTTTACAATAGTAGCAGTTATAAAAGCAACGATAATTTTATAGCACTTTAGATGTATTTGAAGTAATTTCTATCATCATTAACATCAGTATTAAAATTACTGACACTAACAGACTTCCAAGCATCTATTAAAATTCTTATGTCAGTATCACTTAGGTAACTAAATATTTGATCAATACACTCACGTGGTAGCTCAGGACAATTACAGAAAAAATACAAACTTTTAGTGCCTTGTTCAAGCAACTCTTTTCTTTCCATACCATTTCTGAACTGATTTTTTATCATGCTAGAGTATATTGGAAATTTTGTTTTATACTCGTCCGATCTTAAAACCTGCACTACATTTTCATTTCTCATGTATATTGCTACTTGATTTGTATCTTTTATCAAGATATCGTAAAATGATATGGTAGTATTACTAATTTTCTCATTCTTCATGATAGCGACTTCTTTTTCACATTCATCCTGTAAATCTTTTATTTCATAATTGCTGCATAATGATACTAATTGTTCACTTACAAATAAATTTGCAGCTTTTATCTTAACTATATGCTGTGTAAGAAAATCAGCAATTTCTTCATAATAGATGCGACGAGAAAAGTCAGAATAATCGTTATATGATATAGCATTAATATCCGCCCCTCTGTCTAACAACATCGCAACAGCTTCTACATTTTCTTTTTCAACAGCAAGACACAGTGGTGTAACACCTGGTGCAAAAAAAGAGATATATGTCGAATTAATATAAAACTCCATGTTTTAAAAGATGTTCATCAATCTGTAAATATCTTTTCTCAGCTGCAATTTACAGTTATACCTGACTTATTACTGGCATTAACGTTAGCTCCATGATTT